GTTTTTAACATTTTGGGTTTCTATTTGAAATTTCTCATTCTGTCTTGTGAATCTTTTTTGCACACCCAACAGTGCCAATATTGCAGTATCCTGTAACACCCTTGAAAGGATCTCAGAGTGGTGTAGCTGTAGGGCCCCGGTTGAGAACTGCTGGTATAGAGCAGGGGTCAGCAACCCCCGGCACATGTGCTGAGCATGGCACATGAGGCCATTTTTCTTGGCATGCGTTGTGGCTGGGGCGGGGGGTGGGGGGGGGCAGCAGCTGTTTGCAGCTGGCCCCAGCTCTGGGTAGCTGGTGATAACCACGGAGCCAAGGCTGCTCCCGGCAACCGGCTGAGAGGATGGAAGCAGTGCTGCAAGCAGCCTGGGCTCCATGGCTATCACCAGCTATCCAGAACCTGGGCCAGCTGCAAACGTCTGCTGCCTCTCTGCCCCTGTCCGTGCTCCGGGGAGGCAGCAGATGCCAGGATGCTTCCCGCTGTGCTGCCCTCGCCGCTGCTTTTGCAGAGCAGCCTTGGAACCTGGCACAACAGGGCACAGTGGGGGCCGCAGAAAGCTGCTGCTCTGAGCTCCCTGCTGTCCTGGCCACGCTTCCCCTGCAGGCGGGGGCAGCAGCAAGGGGCACAACTCTGTGCTGCCCATGCTGCTCCTGTGCACACGGGGGAAGTGTGACATGGGTAGCGTGGAGCTTGCAGCAGCAGGCAGCTTCCCTGTGTGGTCCCTCTGTGCACTGCTGCTGTGGGTCACACGCTGTGCTCCTGGCCCTGCTGCCCTCCCCTGGGCCCTCTGGAGTGCAACGTATGTGACCTGGAGCAGCAAAGCACAGAGGGGCCTCACAGGGAAGTTGCCTGCTGCTGCAAGCTCTGCGCTACCCGGGTCGCACTTCCCCTGTGTGCACAGGAGCAGCGTGGGCAGCACGCAGGGTTGTGCCCCTCATTGCTGCCCCCTCCTGCAGGGGAAGTGTGTCCAGGGCAGCGGGGAGCTGGGAGCAGCAGGCAGCTTTCTGCGCCCCCAAGCTGCACCCTGCAAGCGGGGTTCCAATGCTGCTCTGCAGAAGCAGCGGCAAGGGCAGCACAGCGGGGAGCATCCCGGCATTTGCTGCCTCCCTGAGGCTGGGGCTGGGGTGGAGAGGCAGCAGATGTTTGCAGCTGGCCCAGGTTCTGGGTAGCTGCTGATTAGCCACAGAGCTTGGGCTGGGGGGTAGGGGGTTGGGTGGGGGCAAGGGACAGCAAAGCTTGGGTGGGGGACAAGGCGTGCGAGCAAGGCATCTTGCCATGTACTCCCTGCCCTCATTTTGTTTTTCTGGCATGCCAGCACTCCGGCACTTTCCAAGGTAGGCATTGTGCAGTTTTTTGGCACTCCGGCCAAAAAATGTTGCCTACCCCTGGTATAGAGCCTTCTTTGAGCTGTCCTAAAGAGCTAGGGGCAAATCATTCCTTTTGAATGACTCTAAATTATCACGTCTTTTGAAGAATAAAAATAATTTTTAAGTTTCAGTTATTCAAAAGCTTCTATAGACTTTAATTTTGGGGGCACTGTCTCTCAGTATTTCTTGATTTATTAGAATACTTTTGTGCGTGTCGTATTGCAGTTTTGTGAAACAGTTCCAAAGCTAGTGGCACTATAAACTACGTACCAGGGAACTAATGTTCATACTTGTAAAGGAGGTCATAAGAAATTCTGATGTACGTGAAAAAACAGACCATTTCCCTGTCATGACTCCTAATCTGAAAAGTTCTTTTTGCATTAGCCGATGTTCCAGTCCTGCTGATATTACTCACTTGAATGGGTTAATGGGTAGCAAATTCTCTGTAGGTAGTGTGGCTACATATTTAAACTTTCCTGTGGGTTAAAGTAATTAATTTATAGCATAACTGATTGTAATCCCAGCAAAATGATTTCCGTATACCAGTAGTATCCCTGATGGGTATAATGACCTGTGAAAGATCAGAGCAATGATTCAGCAATTCATTTGTACTGTCTCTGACAGTGATACCTGTAATTTCAAAATACGTTGTAGAAAAGGAAAAGCCTCTCTTCCTACCTATATGAAATCCCCCTGCCTCTTGCACCTTAAAGAGTGAGAGAGGATTTGGTTTATTTTAGCCTGCATACTCCAAAGGTTGGTGTTGATATCAACTTCGCTTATGCTTTTACAGTATTTGGTTGACCATCTATCAGTGAACTATGCAGATGGCCTATGCGTACTGTTTGCAGTATTGCTTTGAACATAGAATTTTCTGCAGCTGACTTGGAGTACTCCTGAGCATACATGTCTGACCAGTTCTCTTACCTCATCTTAAATAATTCTGCTGTGATTTATCAAACTTCCCCCTTTCAGGCAAGTATCCCTTGATTTATCCAGTTTCTCCATACTTAGTAATTATTTTGATTGATCTCCGTGGAGCTTTGTAAATTGGTCTAATAGCAAACCATGGGAAGAGGTAATAAAAATTCAGTTCAGTCGGTAGTGAAATTTACTGTATGTTCTGATTTGGTGATCCTGGTTTTTTGGATGTCCAGTACTTCTGCTACTGTTTTTAGTGCCTCTCATCCAACAAATAGAAAACTAATTAGCATAAAATATTTAAGGGGAACGCTGCTCGTGTCTCTAGAAATGTGCTTTAACTTGACTTAAATTTCAAACCCCCCCCCCATTTGTCCACCAAAAAAAAAAAGAAAAAAGACTGACATGGTCAAAGCCAAAAGGTCCAAATTTCATTTAATTTTTGATATGAGGAATTTGAAGATCACTAGGAGGTAATAACTTTATGCATTATGTTATTTATGCACCTTCTTCATCTTTCCTTACTTTTACAGCATTAGAGTTGGATGAGATTAATTTAACGTGAAATGTGGAAACTGCCAATGTACTGTCACATTTTTGATAGCAACAGGTAGAGCTGGTGGCAATCTCATCCTTCCCTCCCCCTCTGCCACCCCAGTTACCAAAAATAACTCAACAAAAGAAGCTTACAGGTAGCTACTTATTCCTTATTGTGAACATGCACTCTTTGACTTACTTTTTGTACACAAATATAGTGATAGGTATGTGTCTTGGCCTTTCCTTTATTAATCCTTTTCTTAAGGTCTTTGTAATACTATTAAAAAAAATCTCCTATGGTTTAAACTTGACACAGATATTTGAAGTGATTTTGCCCATTGGATTTTAAACTCATTTGAAACTTATTTATGGGTTTCCTTTGGTTTTAGTTTCTCTCTACCTAAAGGACGTTTTAAAACCCCAACTTGGTAAAGGATCTGGAACAGTGGTTCCCAACCTTTTTTTTTTTTTGCTGTGGACCAGCACGGGCGGCAGAGCAAACTACTTCCCTCCTGGGGGCTGCCTGGCCCCCCAGCTTTAACCCTACACGTTACCACTGGCAACAGAAGCCTCTTGCCCTGACGGATGGGGGGCGGGGGAGGGGGCTGAGCAGGGGGCTTATGCCACGATCTAGCAGCCACCGTGGCCTGGTGGCTGGGAACCTCTGATCTAGAAGCTTGAGTGACTGACTGTGGCAAATCCACACATCTAATCCATAAAATAAAATTTTAGGTAACTGCATATAGTGACATGCTACATGATAGTAAATGAATGAGTCAATACCTGATGGGTTGTTTCTCCTTATGGTATCAGGCAACTAAATCAATGAGAAGCAAACTCACCAGCCTGAGATTTTTTTGATAAGTCTTTGAGCCAGACAGTTCAATTACCAGTTGAATGTTGAAAAATTTTGGCATGCTTGGTTTGAGATCTCTCATCTTTAAATCTGAGTATTACAACATTTTATTCTACAGTTTTCTTCTGAAATGACTTTGCTTGACAATGTCTTCTGAAATTTGGACCTTGAGTTTTTTTTTCTGCTGTAGTTTTGGATTTATTAATACAGTTTAGGGGATAAGATTTTGGGTGTGGATACAATCGTGTGTTACAAGAAAAATTACATCCCAAGACTCTGGGAGTTGGTGAGTGAGTGAAAATCAACTTCAGATTTTAAATGTTAACTTTCCAGTAACTAGATGGTTCATGGTTATGCTTAGATATTGGATAAAAAATACTAGAATATTAATATTTGCAGTCTTGCATCCATATAAAATGTAAAGATCATTGATGTAACTAGTTTAAATACAGCCATGGTCACTGACATTCATAATACGGTAAAATCCCTGTTATCTGGTACTTCACCAACTGGAATACCTTATTAACTGGAATTTCAGCGCTGTGTCAAAAGCGGTGGGATGCACATGGCGTTGTGCCACTTTGCCTCCTGCTGGGGCGCAGGGGGGAAGCTCACACGTGGTAGGCACTGCCACCTACCACCCTGCACTGCGGCTG